TTTGGAGATTTGGTCAGGAGAGTAATGATCAGATATCGGATACTTTAATTCATTCACCTTCTTCAAACTCGTCTTCCTCTTCTTATTCGGATTCTTCAAACCCTTTTCCTTCTTCTTGTTCAGGAAGTCATAAAGATTAACGCGTTTCTTGCGTCTCAAGGCTTCGTTTAATTGACTATACCTAAGAGCAATGTCTCTCACTTTCTCTCGCTCCTTAGGCCATGTCTTAAGTTCTCCGTCTGGTCCGTAATAGATGACGCAGGCTTCAATATCACAGAGAGTGCAAAGCTCCGAAGCTTTCTTGAAGATGGTCTCAAGTCTATTGCTCAAACTTGTAGAAGCGAGTGAATAAGATGAAGAGGAAGAGGAAGAAGGTAAAGATCGAATGGTCATCTTCTTGTTGATTTCAAAGACAATCTCTCTGGTTTTTTTTCACGTTCAAAGTGAAGAGAAGAACGAAGACGAAGAAGAATGATATTGAGAGAGTGAAACTAATGAATTAGGTTTAGAAAGTGAATCATATATTTATAGGATTAGAATTGTTTTTTTCACTCTCGCTCATCGTTAAGAAAAAGGAAATAACGAGTAAAGATTTGATTTCCATATTTTGTATAGATTTGCGAAATTAGCCGTTGAGAGTTTGATAAAAAGGAAATATTACCTTTTTTTTTTCTCTATCTCCAGCTAATTAATAAAGGAAATATATAATTCAGCAATGAGATCAAATAATAACGGTAATAAAAAGATTTGATATGATTTGTTTTGATAAGATGTTTTATTGCTTAACTACAACAATTACTTGCAAAACAGAGTATATCTTCAGTGTCAAATTTTTGAAGGCTTGTTCCATTCTCTTACGATGATCAAATCATATGACATTTTCTATACAAACATATAATTTATCATACACTTGTTACTAGGTCGTGAATGACAAGTGTTTAGTGCAAATAGTTTGATAAATTATATGTTTATATAGAAAAAATAGTATGATACAAGTAAAAAAATCATGCGTTATGCAACAATTAGAAAATCCATGTGTAACAATTTCATTTGATAATTTTGTGTCTATGCAAATAATTAAAAATTATATGTTTTCGACGAATTATCACTTGTCCTCCCAAATTTGAAGATTCTAAAAGTTCTCCAATGATTGTGGATGCTTCTTTTAAAACTCCCATTTTGGAAGAAGATATGAGAAAGATTGAGGATCTAATTAGTCTTTTCAAACCATTTTTGATATAAAATGAAGGAATTAAAAATATAGAATAGATAGTCTTGACATATATTAAAAGAAAACACATTTGTTTGGAAAGTCTGTCAGTTGGGCTTTGGCCCAATTGATTTAGTCAGAAATACAGGCGGCCTGACTATCCCCTGACATTAGTCGGAAAGCATTTCAAACTCGGGACAGACATTGTGGTGGCCCTTCTGGGAGAAGTCCACTCTGAAGCACTTCGGTGCGTTTCTACTGGGGCTGGCCAGATCAGCCGATAAGGTTTATCAAGAAAAAATAATATATATATATATATATATATATTAAAAAAAAACAGAAAGAATAAACATAGTCTTAAACAAAATCGGAAATGCATTTGTCTACATTAAAATATATATTATTATTTTTGACGACTTTCCATCCTTTTTTTTTGACGACACATTAAAATAATTTATACCAATAGGTTTATCTCTATACTATTAAAAGAGAAGTACAAATGTAAATGGGTCGGGTCAAAATCAGAAAATTGACCCGAAATTCTGAAATCGGATCTTTGAAATTTTTTTGGAATATAAATTTCGAATTAATAATGAAAAATAGAACTAAAATCAAATGTTTATGGAAATCAAATAAAATTTGATTGTACTTATGGTAACTAATTATAAAATCATATTCCGAACAATATTATACATTAATTACGTATAATCAGTGTTCTAAAAAGCGGTCTAGGCGGTCGCCTAGGCCCCGACTAGACGCTAGGCTCTCATGCGACGCCTAGATTACCGCCTTGACCGCCTAAAATCACATAGATCTTGTTTAATGTATTTTTTCAATTTCAATTAGAGATTTATTTTTATATATAGTTATAAATATTCATATATTTTTTAATATAAATATAAATAAATGTTTTATCTAGTTTTTGTTTATAATTTCATAATTTTTAGTTTTATATAGATATTTTATATAACTTTTATATATAATATTATATTTATAATTTTTTATGTTATAAACGTCTAAACCGCCTAAAAAATCGCCTAGGCCCGATTAAGCGTTCTAGGCGCTAGGCACTGGGTCACCGCCCGCTTAGCGCCTAGCGCTTTCTTGAACACTGCGTATAATATATTTGTTCATATACTTTTGGAACTAATTCCATAACAATCAACGTTTTTCTCATTAATTTTGCTTATTTAGCCAGTTATCATTAATTAAAAGATATCTTACTTGCTTCTAGAGATTTCTAAAAAATTTATCACAACTAACCCATCTATTTTATAAATTAAATAAATAGATATTTTTATTTTGGTCGTGTAAATTAAATAGATATGAAATCTATGTAACTAATTTTAGTTTAATTAGATTAAATCGAAATTATGGTATTTTCATACAATAATACTTATAGTTTACCAAAGAAGTTTAATTTTCAAATTATAAAGATTTCTTGAATATGATTTTTAGAATTATTCAACAAGATGATAAATATTTATTAAATTTTGTGAATCATGAAAAATATTAATTATTTTTAATCATTATATTTCACCTTTCAATCTCTCATCTAACAAATAAGATACATATTCTATAATTCTTATGTCCAAACTCCATTGAGTTGTATGACTAAATAATATTTCTATTAGAGCTGTCAAAACGAGTTGATTCATCACGTTAAGCCTGTTTTGCAATAGGCAAAATATAGTTTGGCATGTAGTTAGTCTGTCTGCACGACCCGCGGGTAGCATATATGAAACACAACCCCGTCGCGTGAATGTATGCTGATTTGTGGAGTTATCCGTGAATTTTGTTTAAATAATTTTAGAGTAACCAAAATTTAAAATTCAACTAAAATAAATAAATTAAAATGTTTTTAGAGAAAATAATCTTATATATTATTATATTTATAAATATTATAATTTCATTTATTAAAAGTTTTTTAAACTACCACATGTTGAATAAATTATATTTTTATCAATAAATACTATCATGCGGGTTGATCCGCCAACCCCCAGACGAAAACCGATGACCCACTGCGAATCAATCCATGTGGCCCGCTTATTTGCGGGTTTAATATATTTTCCCAAATCTGGCCTATAGTGAGATGATTTGGGCTCGACCCACGGTTTTTGACCTATTTTGACTGCTTTAATTCTCATGATTCGTCTAATTTTTGAATTCTAAAACACAAAATTCCATTTTGTAAATCATAATTAATACGATTGGTTTAATTATAAACAATTTAATATTTTCTTTACAATTTGTTATTAGGAATATTTATAAGTACATTACACGATTCGTTCTACTAAAAACACGCACAATATTAAAATCAATGTATGTAAATCAATATTCTCCCGCGGTGGACCGCGGGTCCGATTCTAGTTTATACTTAATAAATCAAACAAGAGAGACTATGATGATTACATACGTATGATTGCAAACAAGTGTAACTATGATTTATGCTTCGAAACCAATCTTTTTGAGACGTTAGAAAGGGTAATTTGGGGTCTTGAAACTTCATTCTTGAATTTGTCCTTTTTTCACTCAAGTCCTCGGATGGGCTATCTTGGAATCACTATAGTTGTATGTGCAATAACCCGGCCCATTATAATTATTGTAATTTTATTATTCCATTAGCCCATTAAGTCATCAAGCTTTTCTTTGCCACTAAATTTTCACTAAGATTAGCTTCTCTACATTCAAACCGAAAGGAAAGTCGAAAATGTCTTCATTGATTGCATGTAATCTCTTTTACATGGCCATGAAGTCCTGCTACCCATTCTGTTTTTCCATGGCATGAATTAAGAACTGTAATTCAATCAAGTTCATCTTCGGAGCCGAGATTGCTTAAGAAAAACATTGTCCATGGGTGATTCTTTACGAAACGAGGTGGTGATAGTTGTGCCAAAGAACTGATCTAGTATATATATGAACTTATGAAGGACGGAATTTGATCATCGCTCTCAACTTGGTCATCAATGGGCAAATTCATTTGCGGATTGGACCGTATTTTATTTACCATCTACAAATTATAGTCCGTAATAAAAGCGGATCAAGAAAAATAAAAAAATATATTGTAGACTAAATACTAACCGTTTTTATACATAAATAAATTTAGTCCGCGACAGATACTTTTCCATCTTAAAAACAAAATAGTCTAATCGAGGGAAAATAATTTTGAGCTATATCTTTCACAACAATGGTTGTCTTAGAACAAATGTAACCGGTCCATTATTACCATGAGACTTTTTTTTGTTCTCTTTTTAGTTTTGACTTGTGCCTTTAGGTTTAAAACACTAGTAACCAGAACCGGGCCTTGTGGCCTAGTGGTAAAGGGGTCACAGCTCTGATTTCCGCCACCAGGGTTCGAGGCACAGCCACTAGTAGATTTACATAGGGGAATTGCCAGTCTCGTGGGATTAGTCCTTGGGCTTAGGAAGCCTTTGAGAGACCTGCAGTTATTCAAAAAAAAACACTAGTAACCAGTAGCCACATTTATTACGCTTTTCACCGCAAAATCTAACATGCACTCTCTCGTTGTGGACCCCCACAACTCCCCCTCTACCTAACCATGGTTAAAAACCATCAAACCTTAGTTCCCTTGATTAAAATATCCCCAAATCCAACTCTTTTTTTTTATTACATTTCATTTATAAATCATTAATTTTAATTTAATAATATTGTCCTTTTAAAAAAAATTTCTTTATTTGCTTCAGCAGCAGTCGTCACAGTCATCATATCATTTTCTTCTTTTCCTCCCTCTAAACGAATATTACCACAAAAAAAAATCAAGTGAAAAAATATTTAATATTAAAATAAATAAATCTCCAAAAGCTTAAGAACCTTTTTACTTATCTTTATTTCTTCTTCTTCTCCATTTTCTATTCACAATCTCTGAAACTCATACAATATTTTCAAAGCTCTTAACCCAAAACCCTAAGTTTTTTTTTTGGTTATATTATTAATGTTTTAAGCTATGATGGATATGACTCCTACAATAACAACAACAACAACTACTCCTAAATCACCCGAACCCGAATCCGAAACTCCGACCCGGATCCAACCGGCGAAACCCATTTCCTTTAGCAACGGCATCATCAAACGCCACCACCACCATCCTCTCCTCTTTACTTACAAAGAATGTCTCAAAAACCACGCGGCGGCGTTAGGTGGTCATGCTCTCGACGGTTGCGGCGAATTCATGCCGTCTCCGTCGTCAATCTCCTCCGATCCAACTTCTCTCAAATGTGCTGCTTGTGGCTGTCACCGTAATTTCCACCGCCGTGATCCAGACAACAACAACGACTCATCCCCAATCCATCCTCCTCCTTCTACCGCCGTAGAGTATCAACCTCACCACCGTCATCATCCACCACCACCACTACCTCCACCACCGCCACGTAGTCCTAACTCAGCTTCTCCTCCACCAATCTCTTCCTCTTACATGCTCTTATCTCTCTCCGGAACTAATAACAACAACAACAACTTAGCTTCTTTCTCCGATCTCAATTTCCCCGGCGGAAACAACCACCACCACCACCAACATACTCTTCACGGATCTCGTAAAAGATTCCGAACAAAGTTCAGTCAGTTTCAGAAAGAAAAGATGCATGAATTCGCCGAACGACTTGGTTGGAAGATGCAGAAACGTGACGAAGACGATGTTCGTGATTTTTGCCGGCAGATCGGAGTTGATAAAAGTGTTCTCAAAGTTTGGATGCATAACAACAAAAACACCTTTAACCGCCGTGATCTCGCCGGAAACGAGATCCGGAAGATCGATAACGGCGGAGGAAACCACACTCCGATTCTAACCGGCGAGATTAACAACAATAACAATGGACACCACGGCGGCGGAGGAGGAGAGCTTCACCACAGTGTTAGTAGCGGCGGTGGCGGAGGATTTGATAGTGATAGCGGCGGCGCTAACGGCGGTAACGTTAACGGATCGTCGTCGTCGTGAAGTTAAAGATGAGAGTATCAGATTAATAAGAAGCTTAAGAGTAAGCTTATTCGTATTATCATCGTTAATAACTTTTTATTAATATTAATTAAAATCTTTAGTTATGTTTGTTTGTTTTTGCATTATTATTTTAGTTTAATTTTCAGCTTTAATTAAATGTTCTTTACCACGTCGGTGTCTCGCTCAATGAGGAACAATAATACTATAACATTTCCAAATTATATCATTTGTTCAAAATTTTAAGTTTGTAAACATTTCAATTAATGTAATTAAGTACTCCAATAAATGGATACACTTTGATGTGGTGATCTTGTTTCGGATAAAGAAACAAAAAGATAGAAAGTTAAAAGATTTTTTTTTTTGAACAAAAAAGAAAGTTAAAAGATTTATAAACTAGTGAAACATAATTAGTTACTATATTGGTTTCTTATCTTTAAAAGTACTTTTCTTAATTTTATTTGGGACCAAACTAGGTGTACTCTTTTTCTTAGATCCTTCCTTAATTTAAAGAATAAATATACGTAAATTATTATTCTATATCAAATGATTAGCCATCATTTGTTTATTAGCATTTTTCTTCAACACCAATTTCCTCTTTAATCTATGTCCTTGTCATGGATTCATTCCGATAACCCATTTTTGGTATATATGCTTAGTTTTAATTATTCTCATTTGACAAGTACAAACAAGCATATACTTTTTAATAGTTAGATTAAATTTGTACAATTCATACTAAAGTTAGATATAACCATTATTATATCACATCGTAGCATGCAATATTCTATATTTTTTTGGCTCAATCATATAATCTAAACAATTTCTTAATAGGGGTTTAAGGCGTGGCACTAACACTAATGATTGAGTTGATGAACAATTTGACAATAACTTTCCATTTGGGGAAACGTAGGGATGAGATTTGATACGTCGGCTCTCACAATAATGAGATTATGGGTATCTCCATACGGGTTTGTTACAATTATTTAAGCAATTCATTAATATTTCTAGTATTTATTTATTTTATATAACGCATTTAGTCAAGTCACAAATATCTTTCCGTATTATCTTGGTGGGGACAAAACTTTTGCACAAGCTGAGGTTATGGCCCTAACTGCCATATACCATGTGAACCACTTATTAATTATATTATTTATTTTTGTAACGTATCAATTTAGCCATCAATTCACATTATCTAACCAAAAACAAAAATTAGCCATCAAATATGATAATTTCAACTTTGCTTCTAATTTAGAACTGAAATCAATGTTTTATAAAATTAAAATATTATAGTATTAAGAAAAATTCCTAACCATCAAGTAAGTATGACATTATACATGGGATATTTTCTAAAACTATAAATGAAATAAAAATTTAATGTTTTATTAAATAGTTTGTACATACATTGTGAACTACAAGATAACAAATAGTTCATTCATAAGAATATAGTAATAATTAGAAGTTGGAGTTTTCAGCTGAAATTTAATATATTGACATTACACATAGGATATTTTCTAAATTTATGAAATAAAAAGTTTAATACTCCCTCTGATTCAGAATATAAGATGTTTTAAACATTATATTTTATTTCATATTATAAGATGTTTTGCAAGTTTCTATGCAGATTTAAATGCATTTAATCATTTGTGACCATTTATATTCTGCATTATTATTTATGATTGGTGAGATTTATTTTTATTAAATACAAATCATATTTTTTAAAAGAAAAACAAATTACTTTAAACATCTTATAATTTGAAACAGGGAGGGTATTTTATTAGATAGTTGGACATACATGAACTGCACGATAACAAATAATAGTTGAGTCATAAGAATATACAATTATAAGGGAAATTGTTAAAAATACCCCTTTTGATGTGTCCCTTTTCAAAAATGCCCTTTTTAGATGTCCATTTTCAAAAATGCCCTTTTTTAAATCTGAAATTTTTATAAAGTTTTATTAGGTTTATAAGGTGCTTATGGATTGTAACTACTACTTGAAGACTCGATCCAAGTATTTATAAGGTTTTATAAGGTGTTTTTAAAGGTTTTACAAGTTATTTTAAAGGATTTTTAAGGTTTTTCAAAAGTTTTACAAGATATTTTAAAGGTTTTTAAAGGTATTTTAAAAAATTTATAAGGTATTTATAATGTATTTATAAGATTTTAGATACATATAAATGTAGTTTGTGTATGTTTTAATAATATTACATACATATTTGGGTAAATCTTATATTTTTAAGAGCTTTTTTTATAAGGTTTTAAAAAAGAGGTATTTTTGAAAAGTGGCATTGAAAAAGTGGCATTTTTACAGAAGCCCCCAATTATAAACAGTTGTTTTTAAAGATAAAAATTTGATATATTGACAAAAATAATTTCACCCAATTTTAGTGAAGTCACAAAAATTCACCGTAAGTTTTAAATTTATTAAATATAAGTACAATCCCTTGTATATGATGGACATATGGAGACTTGAAAAGAAATGGCCCACCATGTTTTGACATAAATGTCTACATTTTTCAAATTTAAAATTGATGGTACATAACCACTGTGATTATATTATGTTCCAGTTTCATGTACAATTAGGTATGGATAAGTTTTATTTATTTATTAAAAAGCAGAGCAACTAACATATATTATGATGTACTCACTCTGTCCTAAAACATTGATGTTTTAGTTTTACACACAAATTATAAAAATAAGTAATTTTATATATTTTTAATTATTATTTTGTTAGTTTAATAATATTAGTTTTACTTCAATCCTTCTACTATTGGTTACAAACAAAAATAATAATAATGTTTTTACAAAATATTAATCTTGGTGGAACAAGTAAAAAATCCAAAACATCAAATAACTAGGAACAGAAGGAGTATATAGTAAGGTTGGGATTTACCTTTCTTGAGCACCTAATTCCGTAAAATTTCTCGGTTCTTCTTGTGTTGAGATTCTTTGCCAAATATAGTTGACAATAACCAACATTGAGCAATAGTGAAACCCAAAAATATTTTATTAATAAAGTATGACACCAGCTAAAGAGGGTGACAATTGCCAAAGGATAAGAGAATAAAGAGAAAGTTGTGTCTTATTCATATCAAAGAAAGAGTATATATACATGTTACAGGGAACCCTAAACATACTTAAGTATATTAACATAAAACTCTAGGAATTATACTATATTTACATATAACTCCCTAATACTCCCCCTCAAGTTGGAGCATGAAGATTATACATGCCCAACTTGCGCCGTAAATAAGCAAATTGTTGAGAACCCAAAGCCTTAGTAAAGATATCCGTTGGTTGCTCCGTAGTGGTAAGATGTGCAGTAACCAGTGAACCATCCTGAATTTCATCTCGAATAAAATGACAATCCCTCTCAATATGCTTCGTCCGCTCATGAAAAACTGGATTGGCAGCAATATGTAAGGCTGCCTTATTGTCACAAAACAAACGTATCGCCTGCGGATGAGACACTCCAAAACATCCTAAAAGCTCACGATTCCATTTCAACTCTCGGGCAGTAAAACTCATTGCACGATATTCAGCCTCTGCGGAAGAAAATGACACCACATCTTGTTTCTTTGTCTTCCAAGCAATCGGAGAATCACCCAACATAACAATAAAGCCTGTAACCGATCTCCGAGACATGGAACATGTAGAAAAATCCGAATCACAATAAGCTGTCAATTGTAAATCAGGATCAGCACTCAACACAATACCTTGACCCGGACAGCCTTTAAGATATCTGACAACCCGTATAACTGCAGCCCAATGCTTGGCACATGGTTGTTGCATAAATTGAGCCAACATATGCACAACATAGGACAAATCTGGTCGAGTAAAAGTAAGATATACCAAACGCCCAACAAGCCTCCTATACCTCTCGACATCCTCATAAAACTCTCCCTCATCATCCGGCAACTTATGGTTTTGCTCAAGCGGAGTAGACACTGGTTGACATCCCAACAACCCATATTCACTTACAATATCCAAAGCATACTTCCTTTGCGACAAGTAAAAACCATCAGGAGACCGAGATACTTCAATGCCCAAAAAATATTTCATAGCCCCCAAGTCCTTCATATGAAAACATTCACTAAGATATCCCTTAAACTCCTGAATACCTTTAAGATCATTTCCCCCAATCAACAAATCATCAACATAGACCAACACAAAAAGTTGCATAGATCCACGCTCCAAGGTAAAAAGAGAGTAATCGGCTACCTGCTGAGCAAACCCATACCCTTTTAGTGCTGCTGCAAGCTTAGCAAACCAACATCGTTGTGTTTGACGGAGACCATATAAAGATTTCTTAAGTCGACAAACTTTTGATTTATCTTGAGAAACGAAGCCAGGAGGTAGTCTCATATAAACTTCTTCCTCAAGATCCCCATGTAGAAACGCATTATGAACATCTATCTGATGTACTTCCCATCCTTTGACAGCCGCAATCTTAAGAAACTCTCGAATAGTTGTCATTTTCACAACCGGGTGAACTACCTTCACCTTTTTGTCAAATTGGCGCTCCACCATCTTAAAGAAATTCTTAAGAGTCACTGCTACTTCACTTTTCTCATGCAACAAGTACACCCAAACAGCCCGTGAATAATCATCTACAATCGTCAGAAAATACGCAGCCCCCGAAGTAGATAATATGCGATAAGGACCCCAAACATCACAATGAATTAAATCGAAAATGCCAGCAACTTTATTAGAACTTTCATGAAAGCAATCACGGGTCTGTTTCGCCCTCAAACAAATATCACAAACTGTTGTGGAACTCACTGGTTTCATAATATCTAAGTAATGCGATAAATAAGGAACAACACGACTTGACGGATGACCAAGACGAGGATGCCATAATTCCCATGATCCTGAACTGCTCACAGTCTTGTGTATCTTCGCACCAATCACCCCTCGAAGCACGTACACGTCCCCACACTCTTCACCAACCCCAATCAGCGTCTTCATAGCACGGTCCTGTATAACACACAACTCATCAGTGAATGTAATGGAACCCTTAACCACTTTCAAGAACTTTGCAACAGAAATTAAGGAGCATGTTAAATCTTTTGAATACAAAACTCCTTGTAACCACAAATCACCCCCGAGACATATATCTCCCTGTGTCGTGGACACCACATGATCACCATCCGGAAGTCCAATCATACAAGGATTGGTATTCACCACATTAGACAAATAGTCTAGATTACCAGTCATGTGGTGT